AATTTTAAATGCAATGTTAATAGTTATCTGTTGTCTTATTGATCCTATTCTTTTATTGTTCTTGTTTGATTTTTTTTAATCATGTTACTCTTTTTTTATTATTCTTTCACTTTCAGTAAGCCTGTGTGTCTTAACTGCTTTATTGCCTTCCTTGGGGTGAAATGATTAAAAAAAAAAAACATTTTATTAACTGATATGAGAAAAGGGACAAAGGTAAGTAAAAGAAAATAGGAGGCAATAACGTTATGATTAACGCTTTAAATCCTGGATAAACCGCCGCTTACCGCCCGCATGCGACCCATTTGTCTTTCTCAATGGAACCTCGGATTTCCGCCTAAATGTCGTTTCTTTAAAATGTCTTTGATTTTCTTTACGTTTCGTTCTCACGTGATCACTCACACACAAAAGCATATAGATATCAATGACTAATTGTTTCTTAAGTTTTGTTCGTCCTCGTTACATCCGGCGATAATTCTCCACACCACTCACACCCATAAACAGCGTGACGATAAATTAAATCCGGCAGCAAGGCCTCTGGTTGAGACATTGAAGGAGCGTAAAACCACCACGTAACGGCTGTTGTCCCCATGTCTATCCTGAACCGGAGTGGTAACACATGTTAGGCTCCCAACTACGAGAAAATCAGGACCCCCCCCCAAAAAAAAATAAACAGCACATTTTTTTTATATATATAAAATGAAATACATTTATAACAAAATAACAATCAATACAACATTAAAAAAATATAAAAATACATTTTTATAGTAGAATTAAAAAACAATACATTTTAAAATCTAAAAACTATATATCTAACAAAACATACATTTACTGTGAAACTATAAAATAATGTATAAACTACGTTTAGTTGAAAGCATAAGAGTGTTCAAAAAATATTTAGATGCCGGCATTAAATATGTTGATATGCCGTTAAACAAAATCAGCCAAGTGACTAATTTTAAATTTTGTAACTTTTCGTTGAAGGTAACGTATTCGGCGTTTCAGACCATTGGTAATTTTTACTAAGGAAGATCATACGTGTAAAATAGATTTTGCTTTAGTAACAGAAAAGGTTCATAAACATTTATTTTTCTCTCGAGAAGAAATATATTTTATCTTTTAAAAATATTTTTGGTATAGTAAAATGAATAAATTAAAGACGATAAAAGAAACTGCCTATTTCTAAGGCAGATCTTTATTCGTACCGCTTCCTGTAGGGAAAAAATGGCTGAGATACTTGAAACGCAAAATGATCTTGAATATTTTTAGTAGCGCGGCCCGCCTTTTGATTTGCCTTATCTCATGCGGACCACAGTTCTCAAAGGGTTGCCCATGGATGGTGTATGTCATGAGGGTTGTGTTTTCGCCACCGCCTACTTTGACGTCCCCTACGACAGAGGGAAGTCGCACGTAGTGACAGCAAGCGAGAGGATTTAATGGCCGACTTTTGATGCTTGTTTGCATGTGTGTGAGAAAGCAATGACTTTCTTTTTTTTTTTTTTTTGTTTTTTTACGAGATTTCATACAAGAATCAATTTGTCTCGCTTAAAAGAGGATATTTAGGCGTAGACATTAACACCGAGAAACGCACTTTTTGGTAAGCATGTAAGACAATTTGGAAAATTTCTATCTTGACATGTTACGTTGATCAAACACCTTTGATCTGGAAATTGCCGTTTTGATCTGGAAAATGCCGTTTTCATCTGGAAAATGCCGTTTTCATCTGGAAAATGTCATTTCGATCTGAAAAATGCTGTTTTCATCTGAAAAATGTCGTTACCTTTGTCTTAGAGGTGTAGATCAATCAAATGATTTTTTCCTTTCGTCAAATTAATTGCTTTGTCCTGAGGAGAATTTGAAGAGTCTTCTTGAAGAGATATGCCAACTGACTTTTGGAATGGAGAAGACAAAAATTCTTGCAATTCTAGAGGCCTTTATTTTTCTGTTTAATTTTATGCTGTTTTATAGAGAGTTTTACTGTTAAGGATATGTAACTTTCTCTATAATTCGCAGACAGTAGGTATTTTTTTAAATTTCATCCCAAGGTGATAATGCCACTAAGACGCAAGGGACTACTGGGAGTGAAAGAAAATGAAAAAGACTTTAGAAGGAACCAGAAACCCAATCCTAAACAGGAAACAAGTGATAAACCTCTACTCATCTATTCACCCCAAGCAAGACGATAATGCCACTAAGACGCAAGGGGATACTGGGAGTGAAAGAGAATCAGAAGACTTTAGTGAGGAGGAGTGAAGAAAGGACAATAAAGGAACAGATTTAGGAAGACAGAAGATAGCGATTGATGTTGCATTTAATTTTTGAAGATGGTAGGTGTCAATGAAGCAAGAAGCAAGTGCGAGAAAAGAAGTGGCGGTTCAACAGTAAAACGGTTACACGCTTTACTTTATGTAGTCGAGGCAAGAACAATTATCATGAAAAGAAGTCACGTCGGTTAGAAAGTGACTGAAGTCGAGATACCTGCTGTCATGTACCCGGAAATTTACCGTCACCTGAAGAAGGCCGAAACGTTGTGATTATGACAATGAAGATGAGGATAACAATCCGAATAATGTAGGTAATCATAATACCTCATCCCAGAGATATAGACAGATAGATAGAAATTTCTCATGTTCCATTCATGGTAGTCTCAGCATCCTTCTGTAGAATAACATTTCTGTTGATTCACATTTCCTCTTCATGATGTGGGTACCCTGCATAGGACGACCAATATCACTATATTTCTTACAACGTTTCGACCGTTGTACGCTCTAGCCTTCTTCAGGTGGTTGGAATGTCGAAATGAACCCTGGGGTAGACTAGTTCCACATGCCATGTTTAATGGATGTCAGTTATCAGTTATATCCTGTTAATTCCCCTCTCCAAGTTATCCACTGCCTTAACAGGGTATTGAACTCACACTCTTTGGGTCCTGTCACTGGATCTAACTAACAACTTTATCCACTGTGCCATGTGTCCTTGAGGACATCTATGTATGGATTTCCGGGTATTATAAACCTAATGTCTTCAGCATTCATTTTTTATCAGTGCTCATGTTGCAATTTTTTCTTGTTATCACACATTTTTTTTACCAGAGCTCATATTGTAACTTTTGTTGTTATTATCGGTTTTCTTTGGCACTCCTTATTACTGGTTCCCATATTGTATTTATTTCTATGCTTGGTCGGCTCAGGAGATTTTTGTGGCCTAGCATATGTGCTGATTCCTTCAGTTTACGAATTTTCCATTGGTGTTCTTTGTCTATGATCTCAACCTGATCCCACAGAGGGCGGTGATTTCCATTTTCTCTCTATATGTGGTCAGCCACGCCTGATTTTTCTACTTCCCCTCACGTTAGAGATTTCTGGTGTTCTTGAAGCTTTACCCGGTTAAGGCAGTGGAGAACTTAGAATTAACAGGAGATAACTGATAACTGACATCCATTAAAACATGGCACGTGGAACTAGAACAGTCTACCCCAATGAGCGAAATAAAGGGTTCAGTTCGACATTCCAACCACCTAAAGAAGGCGGGAGCGTACAACAGCCGAAACGTTGTAATAAATATGGCGACAAAGATGAGGACAATAGTTCGAATAATGTAAATAATGTACATAATACCTCATCTCAGAAATATATTGAGATTAGCATGCAGCGAGGAAATGGAGTAATCATTGATCCAGAACTCCAACAATTTACATACAATGAATGTGGCAGTGTATCTGTCTTCAATACTGGTCTCGTTAGACGCAAGAAGATTTATATAGGTAGACTTTTGACATTTAAAATTACAATCAAGTCAACTCTGGAAATAATAAATATGGCGACAAAGATGAAGACAATAGTTCGAATAATGTAAATTGTGTACATAATATCTCATCTCAGAAATGTAGACAGATAATGATAGGAGGACCAATATTATGTAAAAGGTCAAGGTACTTTTTTTGTTGTTTTCTAATGAAATTTTCCTGTTTTTAATAATTTTCTTAGCATTTGGAAGACAACTTTTACTATTCCAATGGACCTTTGGATTTCAGTATTACGTTTTCCGTCATCTGTTAGATACTTAATTTCTGTACATTTTTGATTTTCATTAGCATGACTAGTTGTTCTTTTAGCTGATAACCCCACCTTCTTTCTTCTTACAATTGATAGTTAGTCTTTTCTTCTCGCTTTCCTTTACGACCTTCTGTAGGAGTTCCTGTAGTTTCTTTTCAGTGTCAGCTGTGACACTGTGTCATCTGTATATCAAGAATGTATTAAGTTACAGTCAGCGCCGTCTGTCTAACTCTCTGCATTAGCAGGGAGGAACCCGTACGAGGCTTAGCCGAAGGGCAAGGTTTCGTTCGGGGAGGTTGACAAGCATTGAACACGCCTAGGCGGGTTCGATGGCTATATTTTTGGCCGAGCCTACGGACTCGGGATACCCACATTAAACTCGGCCTTGTGCCACATTCGATCCTCGTGGGGGGATAGCTAAATATTTGTATACGAGGTTTGATAAAAAATAAACGGGACTGTTGAAATGGTACATAGATAGATCGATAGATTTGGTTACTACTGATGTATCAAACATTTGCGGGTTATTTAAAGCCAGAAAACATCATAAATTTTAAGAATTTTTTTTTTTAGTTGATATCTATCTATCTATCTATCTAAAGCTGGGCATATCTATCCATCTATCTATCTATCTATCACTCTGAAGCTCTGCATATCTATCTATCTATCTATCTATCTATCTATCTATCTATCTATCTATCTATCTATCTATCTATCACTCTGAAGCTCTGCATATCTATCTATCTATCTATCTATCACTCTGAAGCTCTGCATATCTATTTATCTATCTATCACTCTGAAGCTCTGCATATCTATCTATCTATCTATCTATCTCTATCTATCACTCTGAAGCTCTGCATATCTATTTATCTATCTATCACTCTGAAGCTCTGCATATCTATCTATCTATCTATCTATCTATCTATCTATCTATCTATCACTCTGAAGCTCTGCATATCTATCTATCTATCTATCTATCTATCACTCTGAAGCTCTGCATATCTATCTATCTATCTATCTATCTATCACTCTGAAGCTCTGCATATCTATCTATCTGTCTATCTATCACTCTGAAGCTCTGCATATCTATCTATCTATCTATCTATCTATCTATCTATCTATCTATCTATCACTC